AGACAGAGCCACCGCCTCTGCTCACACGGCTCCAGCAGGAAACTCAATTTCTATTTGAAGCTATCCCTGGGCATGCTCTCCTTTTATTTCAGGCCATGGAGGAGAAAGAGGCAAAATAGCAGAGAGGTGCCAGGGAGCAGCACAGCCAAGCCCCCGAGGGGTAAGTCAGCAGATAATGCCCAGCTGCCTGGGGCAGCACGGCCCACGTCACCTCTGCCACAGGCATCCCTGTGTTTTTACGGCACAGACACCAGCCCCACACCAAAATTGGGGTGCTGGTGCACCCACTGCTCACCTGGGCCAGCAGCCATCCTTGCAAGTGCGGTGTTCGGTATCAGAAGGCAGCCAGGCTGGCTGGCTGCCTGCTTGCTTGCCTTGCTTTTGGGAGGGAGTGGGAGGCACTGGGCAGCACCCCAGGCTCCCTAAGGACCTGAGCTCTAAGAAAGGACCAGGCACAATGCTGCAGCAGGGGCAGGACCCACAGACAGCACCCAGCCAGAAGCTGCTTTCCCCCAAGCTGGTTTAAAAGCCTCTCCTCCCCTGAGCTGGGTTTTAAGAGCTGCTGTGGCTTTGCTTCCTGGGGTAAACCCCGCAGGATTTGCTAACGAGGGTCCTGGGTTGGCCCAGGCGGTGATAACCACCCTCAGGTGAGGAGCCCGACGGCTCACGGGGGGTGTGATGGGCTCCGGTGGGGGCACGGGGCAGAGCCTCGCTGCACCCCAGGCCCAGGGGTGCCATGGCTGTAAGTGGCTGCTGCTGCATCCCCAGCTCCTGTGCTTGTTCGTAGGGAGCGTATGGATACGTGGTGGCCCTTCAGCATATGGAAAATGCTTCACAGGCTGTGTGCCCACCTTCAGCAAGTGCTAACAAGCCCCGGTCGTAGGGGCTGGCTGCTCAACTCACCTGGTGCTTCTGACTCATTAAGTACAAACGAGAAGGCTCCATCCCGTGCCCCGGTGGGGCTGGCTGTGGGGTCTCCTTGGAAAAATGGGAGGGGGGAAGCATTCAGGGGAAGAAGGAAGCTGTGGCTGGGGAAAGTCTTGCACCTACGGCTGCAGCCAGCCCCCCCACGCCAAGGGGAAGTGAGGGCAGAGCATGAGAAACAAAATTTCCTCTTTCTGGAGCTTTTTTTAGCATCCTGCTGTTTTCTACGCAGCACATTTGGCTGAACTTTGCAGCGTTACTGCTCGGGATTTCCAAAGCACAGTTTCTCACATTGCTGTGTTTTTTATCCCCCTGCTCCGAGGGCGGCCGCTCTCGCAGGGGCATTTCTGGGCACCCCCGGCGAGCACCTTTGCTGCTTCTGAGCTTTTGCTGGGCTTTCTGGGACCCCTCGTGCCGCGGGTTTGCAGCCCCGGGGAGAGGTGGAAGGCACCGCAAGCGCATCCCTGCGCCGGGGCCGGCCGGGGGGAGCGGAGGGTGGTGCAGCAGGGAAGTTGCTGTGCAGTGGGGATGGGGAGATGCAGGCACTGGGGGGGGTGGCAGGAAAAACGCTAGCGTGCACGTGTGTGCAGATGTGTGCGTGCACCGGGCTGCGAAGAGACGGGCGGGCTGGGACTGCGCCTTCTCCTGCCCTTTGCGTGTCTCACGGCCCAGCGATGGGAGGTAGGGGGGGATTTACCCACCCGGGAACGCAGCCAGAGGAAAAGGAGCACGATTCAGCCTCCCTGGCTGGGTGATGGAAGCCCCTGGGAAAGAGAGGAGAGGAGACAAGCTTGTTTTTAAAAAAAAAAAAAAAAAAAATCACTGGAAGTTGAGACATTCTGGGTGAAAAAAGTGAAAATTGACCCAAGGCAAAGCTGTGCAGCTCCTCGCCAGCCACCCTCGCTCTGCCGGACAGCCTGCCCGTGCCCTGGCGCTGGTACCTGGGAAGCCAGGAGGAACAGAGGAGCTCCCCGGGAGTGAGAGGATGCACCCGGCCACCGGTGCCCTGCTCCCGCCGCCCGGGCACAGCCCAGGGACCTACAACACCGTTGCTTTGCTCGGACACCCTGGCAGGAGCAGGAGCTGGATGGGAAGCCTGGACACGTCGTGCTGAGGAGTTTGCTGTAGCAGTAAAGACGGGCATGTCTTCCCTGGGCCTCGGCATCGCCATGGAACACCAACATGAAAGAGAGCGTCCCTCACACCTCCTTACACCTCTGGAAGCACCAGTCCCTGCTGAGTGGCCCCGGATGCTTTCCCAGCACAGCCAGCTCTGCCTGTCCCTACCCTCAGCATTTTTTCAAGCCCAGCAAGGCAACTTCTGACCACTCGGGGAGGATGTACTGGGTTTTGGCCAGCTGGTTTGGCTTGATCCCAGTAGAGTGGAGAAGGGAGGAACCTGCCCGGAGCAGGCGCCGCTGTCAGGAAGCCCTAAAGGGTTACCCTGCTGCCGAGGGCGAGCTCTGAAGCCCCAGGGAACCCCAGGGCATGACAGGTACTGCCGAAAACCAGCCAAATCCACAACCCCCTCCCAGTTACTTCTGCCAGTCAAGCTCCAGCAAATGGAACCCGAAGCCCTCGGTCAAGCTCCAGCAAATGGAACCCGAAGCCCTCGGTCAAGCTCCAGCAAATGGAACCCGAAGCCCTCGGTCAAGCTCCAGCAAATGGAAACCGAAGCCCTCAGTCAAGCTCCAGCAAATGGAAACTGAAGCCCTTGGCCCAAGTTACCCACCAGTGATGGATAAAACCCAACGAGTAGGTGAGCACCAATGAGTCTTCCTACATGACGAAGAGATTACTCACATTTCTAGAATGAGTCGTGCAGGTTGGGCGGAGAATTAATAAAAGAAACGTTAAGTCTTTGCACAGAAGGCTCATTAACTCTCCGGCTCATTAATCATCACTTCTGAAGTTTAACGGGATTATTTCATGAGCCATTTTGCTCTACTGCTTACGTTAGATCCTGGCTCCCTGGAAGATAGGAAGACCTCTTGGTCTCATCGGACTCGTTACTCAATGGCGTACAAGAGAAACTATGCAAACAGGCGCAGAAAAGTGGCCCCCCGAACTGTTTCTTTTTGTCGAAGATTTTCTGGTTCCACCCAAAGCTACTTCAAAGTCTTGGTGCAATCACCCTGGCAGGTGTTGACCATCAGCTTCATTAGTAGATGTTCGCATTTTAACGCCTATACCTCAAAGCATGGGAAAAACCCACAGGGACTGCAGCGGGATATAATAAATGTGCCTTCGGCATCTTGGTTGGTACCTACAGACTTGGACCTGCGGGTTAATTCTTCAGGCTGAAGCAAAAGGCAAACCAGAGAGAATTTGGGCAGAAATTTGAATTTCCTCTGTATCATCAGCTCTGTTGAGGGGTTTTTTGTTGTTGTTGTTTGACAGGTTCAGATAACATCAGCTGCTGACCATGCAAACAGCTTTAAAATAAAGTCCACCTACAGTCACCTTAGTGATGCTCTCCGGTATTTCCGACACCCGCAGCAGTCACGTGTGCAAGACGGGCAAAGGAAAGGCTTAGAGCAGTCGTGAGAAAGCCAAATTTGATAGAATGCAGGTAGCTCTGCAGCAAAAAGCGCGTAGCAAGCGGGGCCGTTGTCCCTGCTCGCATGCAAGTATGTTTTATATTCTATTTACGGAAGATAAATTAAAAAGCTGACCCCGGTTTGGTGAAGCCACCACCCTGGGGCTTCCACTCCGTGCCACGGCAGCAGCGGCTGCGCCGGTGGAAAATGTTCATTTCTCAGGCGCACGTGTCAGGCTCATTTACATAAGGAGCACATTTCGGTCCGTCATCTTCTCGGCCGCCTGGAGCCGCGGTGCGGGTGGGAGGTTTCTGAAGGGCTTTCCTGGGAAAGCAGAGCATTAAACTCATGAGTGCTGTTAAACGGCTCTGCCCCGGCCGCGCGCTCGGGCACGGGGAGGCCAACGCAACTGGCGGCAAAGGGAGATTCGGGTGGAAAAGCTGGAGCTGGGAAATGGGCAGCTGCAAAAGCCTGGCAGCAAGTTAAACACCCCCTGCTACCGGGGGCGACTTCTGCTTGGCGGTGCTGCACAGGAGGCTGGTTTGTAGCAGCAGTGAAACCCATTTTCTATTTATTTCTCAGTGGCTTTGCACTTCCCTTCGCTGAGCAAGGCACGGCGCTTGGGAGGCGGCGGAGGAGCTGACCACCACCGATGCCACCAGCAGGAGGTTTCTGCTAGAGAGATGCTCCTACCGCTCCTGCAAGCTGCCCCGTACCTTTTGCTTTGTAAGAACCGTGTCTCCCTGCCGCGTTGTAACTGCACCTTTCTCTCTTTCAGCGGTGAGGCCACGTCAGTTGCCAAACTTCTGGGTTGAGTGAAGTGGCTGAAATGCCACCCAAAAGGTGACAGGGGTGCTGCTCCGGTCACAAACTGTCGACTGCTTCAGCACGTGACGATGCATTTCTCGGTGCGGCTCCCCTCCCTGCCAATCCTACAAGCGACCAGCGTAAGGTCTGGAAACTTCTGACAAAGATTATGAGCAAAGCACACGAGCGGGACTTTAATTAACTCACTCACCCCATAACGAAGCTCCTCCCCAGAGCGGACACGATGATCTGGTAACCGAAGCCTCAGACACGGATGCCAGGGCTGAACCTTTTTATTTCAGCAGCGACAACCTGAGGGCAACCTGGCTGCAGGACACAAGTGAGGAACATGTTACCATGCCAGGGCTGAGCACGGACCTGGAGCACAACCATGATGAACAGCTCGACCTGCACCGAAACAGACCTCAAGCCCTACTACGCCATCACGTACACTTGCATCCTGATCCCTGGACTAATAGGCAACACGTTAGCTTTGTGGGTCTTTTACGGGTACATGAAAGAGACTAAAAGGGCCGTAATATTTATGATCAATTTAGCCATTGCCGACTTATCACAGGTTTTGTCCTTACCCCTGAGGATTTTCTACTACTTGACCGGGACATGGGAATTTGGAGGAGGGCTCTGCATGCTTTGCTTCTACCTGAAGTACGTCAATATGTACGCAAGCATCTACTTCTTGGTTTGCATCAGCGTAAGACGGTATTTGTTTTTCATGTACCCGCTGAAATTCAGCGACTGCAAACGCATCTGCGATGTGTATATCAGCATCGTCGGGTGGGTCGTGGTCTGTGTTGGCTGTTTGCCTTTCCCGCTTCTCAGGCTTCACCAGGAAGCTAAAAACACGTGCTTTGTGGATCTCCCCGTACAGGAAGTTGACCTTCCCACCTCCATTGCAATGATGATGATAGGCGAATTGGTGGGGTTCATAACACCCCTACTCATCATCCTATACTGCTCGTGGAAAACTATCTTATCGCTAAAAGAAAAAAACTCTGCTTCACGTGACCTCGGAGAGAAAAAAAAGGCTTTAAAGATGATTCTTACCTGTGCTCTGGTATTTCTGATTTGCTTTGCACCTTATCATATCAGTTTTCCCCTGGATTTCTTTGTCAAAACCAAAAAGATTAAGAACGGGTGCATTCAGAAGGTCATCTCCGTGTTTCACGTCGTAGCTTTGTGCCTTGCCAGCTTGAACTCCTGTGTGGACCCAGTCATCTACTACTTTACTACAGATGAGTTCAGGAGACGCCTTTCCAGGCAGGATTTGCAAGACAGCATTCAGCTCCACAGCCTCAGTTACGTGAGGAAGCACTCCAGAGACGAGCTCACGGAGGACACCGTGGACTGCTAGCGCCGGCCCTCCCCAAACAGTCACCAGGACTTCAAATGTTCGCTATATTTTGGGGTTTGGCCCATTGGGTTTGTTGGGGTTTTTTTTCCCCCCCGGATACTGAGAGCGACAACTCAGACAAGCTTCTGCTGATTTCAGCAGAAACTCAAACCTGACCAAAAAATTTGTTGATTTAATACTTTGGTTGCGAGTTTTCTCTGGATATAAGTAACGCCACGTAATTCCCACAGGCCCTGTCTCTAAGCTGGGTGGCCGGGAGCAGGTAGCTTTGGCAGCAGGAGGAGGACATGGACCCGTGGCGAGAGATGATGCTGTGCCCCGTTGTCACCGGCGGGGCCGTTACCCAGCCCATTCCTGGTCACCCGCCCTGGCTTCAGGAAGAGGCAGCCAAGATTTTGGGGTCTTGCTGTGCAGAAAGAATTTGATCCTAAAAATGAGTAGGTGATGCAGTATTACGTATTTCTGAAGCCATGGATGATCCAGCAGTGACTGATTTCTACGGAGAGTGCCAAGAGCCTGCCTCAAGCCATGTTAACCACGGAGGAGGAACGTAAGGTGGCCCCAAAGGACTTGCCAGTGAAATAATTAACCAAGCCTCCGTTTTGGGGTGTAGCGAATGACGTACCCTCAAATCACAAAGTCACTGAAGCGTCCAGACACTATTTTTCCGCCATCAGTTCCCATTCGTGGCTTGCAAGGCACGTGGTTTGAAGCCGTATCGCTGCCTTGGATAAGCTTTAACCATGTTTGGGGGTATTTATTCAGGCTAGATGATCATCAAGCCTTTCAGGTCCTCTTTTCACCAAAGATGGGGCAGATTATTTCCCTTTCACTGCTAACTGACCCTGCGCCATCACATCGACTCTTCGGTAACAGCAGCTTGGTTAAAACGCAGTCAGAGGAACCAAACCCTTCTGAATTTCACTGTCACAGGAACTCAGTATAAGCGGAGTCAAAGGTGCCACCCATCAGGCTATGAGAGATTTTTTAAGAAAGGCTCAAGGGCGGATGTATTTTTAAGAAGAATTTCTTTAAAATCAGTCAACAGAAGCTTCGGGCTCAACAGGCATTTCATTTGCACCTTTTGTAAAATGTATTTTTCTGTGAACATTTGGAATGTTACGTTTTGAAATGTAAAAATGCTGTGACGGTATGAGGTTTTATTTAATGCAAATGTTGTTTTATAGATTTAATTTATAAAAAGTTATATATTTTGTAGAAAAATGCTGTGAATCCCAGAGAGTGGGAAAGACTTTTTTTTTTTTTTTTTTTCCTTTTTAAAAACCCTCTCTATGTAATAAAAAAACCCCTCCACCACCTCAACCCTCCAGGAGTCTGAGCCAGTGTCTGTACCGGAGCGTGTCGGCGGAGTAAGCACTGCTAATTCATGGAAACCACGAAGCACGTGGTCATTTGTTCACAGCAATGAAAAAATATTTTTATTTCCTGTTGTACACGATAAAAAAATCTAAATGCAATTCTCAGCCCGCTCTCCCCTCCCTACCTGCCTGCATCACCACTCCACGCCTCCACAGACCCAACGCCTGGCAGCTCTTGGGCCGCCACCGCCTCTCGAGCACCCGTAGAACGTTTTAGATGCCTTTGCAAAATGATGTTCACCTCCTTGCACGGGGTAGAAAAGCAGAGCGCTGGCTTGCAAAGGGACAAAACGCACTGCTGCAAGCTGCAGCAGCTCATCTGCCCCCCCGTCCCCGAGAGGTTCACCAAGACAAGGGGAATTCCCGCAGCTGAAGCCCAGCACCGACACAAACCCATCGCCGTCCCTTCGGGTCGCCGTCCCTGGCCCCGTGGGAGAAGAGGAGGATGGCCCCGTACAATCCCCCAGAGCTACTTTTTGCTTCTGGGGGGAAAAGATGTTACGCAAAGTGGTGTCAGAAGTTCAGAAATTGTTCAATGAGAAAAACCTCATTAGCTTAAGTTTTCCCGCCTACAAAATACTGTGGGTGCAACACGAGCCGTTTCCCCTGCTGCCACAGCAACGTGGTTTATTCATATTAGTATTAACGGTCTCTTTTTACAGGAAGTCTGGTGTAATAATCGCGGTGGCTCACATGGGCCAAACTGAGGAGAGATCTGTCCTGCCCTCCCCTGCCCCCGCCACGGCACCTCTGCTCCGGGTGGGATTTGCTTGGGCCACGCTCTCCACGGCAGAGGTCTCACAAGCCCTTGGCTGATGTTGCCATGGACATCTGGAGAAGCAAGACAGAATCATAGAATCGTTTAGGTTGGAAAAGACCTTTAAGATCATCAAGCCCAACTGTCTCCCCACCCCTGCCATCCCACCACTAAACGCTGTCCCTAAGCACCGCGTCTGCCCGGCTTTTAAATTCCCCAAGGGGTGGGGACTCGACCCCTTCCCTGGGCAGCCCCTTCCAATGCTCGACAACTCTTTATGAACCCTTTAAGATATTACTTAGGTTGTATTTTCATGCCCTGTTGATGGCTCAGGATCCACGACCCCAGCCCACGCTTGAGCCCTGGAGCGATCACACACCAGCGGAGATGCTCTGCTGAGTTTTTGCCACCCACGAAAGCCTCGAGTGGGGATGGTGCATGGCACAGAGGGTTTGGAGAAGACAAGCAATGCCCAGCCATGGCAGCAGCAGGGAGCAATTGCTGTTTGATGGCTCTCCTGCCCAGCTTTGAGCTCTGTGCGAGGCAGGATCCGATTCTTCACCTGGGCTTCGCTCAGCTCTGGCTGCCGTTCTCCATTAGCCTGTTTGAAGCCAGCAGAAGCCAATATTCCCAAGGAAATCTTTTATCTGGAAAGCCTTTTGAGTAATAAATCTGGTCTGCAGCACCAGACTGGGAATCTGAATGAGAATGTAATGGCGAGAAAAAAAACAACAAAAAAAAAAACCCAAACAAAATACCCACACCCCCCCCCCCCCCCACCCCCC